CCAAACCTTGCTTAGCCTTCTTCCTAGCAACAGATCCAACACATTTCTCCAGGGTGGCATGGTTATCATGGGGCTTATCATTTTCTGCTACCGACTAGCCAGCCATACAATCTTGGGCTGAAGCCATACAATCTTTGCTTCAGCTTTCTTCTCTATAAGATGGGTATAGGAAAACTACCATATCATAAAGTTATTGTGAGAATGAAATAAATGCCAGCTGGATTCAGTGGTGTCCAGAATGGTGGAAGCACTCAGTACATTGCCGTGCAAGCATTTTACTAGTGAACCTATGGGTTAGGGGAAATAGCCTGACTAAGAATCACAAATCACAGAGTCCTGCTTTCCCACTTACTAGCTGTAATGAATCATTGAGAAATTATTGAAATTTACTTTTTAAAAATCTGTAGAGTGCTACAAGAATGCTTAGTTTTCAGTAATAAGTGGGATTACCTCTATAAAAAATAAATTTCAAAGTGCAGAACACAAAATGGTATTATCATCTCAACTCTTTGTTTTTGAGGAGCAGCTGCTGAGTGTGAGTTGTCTTTGCATTTCTTATGGCTTCTAGCACTTTACTCTTAGTTAAATCTACAGCAGCAGTTGTTGAATGAATGGTTTAATAATTCAACACAGCTGAGAAAAAAGAAGCAAATTGAGAAAGCCCTGCACGCTGTACAGGGATGTGTGAAATCTTACATGTAATGCATGTGTTTTTAAATCGGGTCCCCTGAAGCTCTGTAGTTCTACTTTACACAGAGAGGCTAGGAGCTTCCAATTAGAGAAGAGAGCATGGGCTGGGTTACTCTGAGCAGGCACACTGACCATCTGAGAAACAGCGGCTTGACAGCCTGACAATGATGGGAGAGGAAAACTCAGACAAGCAGACACAAAAACGTAAAAAGCCTTTCAGTGTGGGGCTTTTTACTGTAATGAGAGATCCCATGAGGCTTACTGAGAGATGAATTAGACAAAGCAGTTGAGATCTTCTTTGGAAAACAATTTCACTTTGGCAGGGGGATACTAGATGACCTAAAATGACAGATTCTGCTAATTTCCATGGTTGCCTCAGGGAAAATTGAAGCAAACTTAGCTCTGATTTTGCAGTATGTTTCTCAAACATAACTTCTTGGTTGACTGCCCAGGTAATTACTCTAACTACAGAGTTCACATTACTAATTATCTCAGCTACAGCTTTATTTTCTATACTGCTACCAAAACCTAATTTTCTTAGGTTTTACAGTTTCCAACCAGTACTTTTTCCAGCAAATGAAATGCTTGATCATGTCACTTTATGCACCTTTTTGTATCATTAGAATGATTTGCAGTCAATTTGGAGGATTGATAATTATTAATGCTTAGTAATAACCAGGACTCAAACCACCTTTATACCACTTTAGTGTGGATGTCATTCTAGGTGGTATGCATCTGTAATTTGTAGATGAGGTGAAAGTGAAAGGCATAGCAAATATTTTGTAAAGGCAGATCATGACCCAAAATCTAAGAGGGTGAACTCTTAATGAGGTAGAAATAAAGCCTTCTGATGGTCCAAATAAAAAGACTACAAAGACATAAATGAGATGTTAGTCATCAAAGACATTTACTTAGGACAGCCCGAGGAGGGACTTTAATGCCACTGCTCCTCTGGTGTGTTTGTACCTTGAAAGTAGGAAGTTGTCATAGTATGAGAGGTAACTGCAGGGACCCACTATTTTCTTTTCTTTTTAAAAATTTCTACTAGTACATGTTTACAAAACATTCATCATGGGGAGCTGATATATGTACATGTTGCATCTCAATTTTTTCTTTCTACTTCTCCTTATTTTTCCTTCCTTCCTCCCCCTCTTCGTCCCTAGATCTCCTTTCCATCTTCATAAGGCCTACCTCCCTGTTTTCTATCTTCTGTCTTTTATTTTGCTCTTTCTTTGTACTTCGAGTTTCTCAGATAAGAAGAACCATGTGGTATTTAACCTTTTGTATCTGATTCATTTCATTCAGCATTATGGTCTTACTGTGTATCCATTTGACACGCTGGAAAGAGCTCTCCCACTAAATTTCTTTTGTTTTCTTTTTAAATTTTATTTTGAGGTAGAGTCCTATGAAGTTCCTGGGGCTGGTCTTGAGGTTAAAACCTTTTTTTTTTTGGTACTGGGAATTGATCTCATGACCTGGCACTGCCAGGCAGGTGCTTACATCACTAAACTAAATCCCCAGCCCCTTGCAGCCCTCTTGTTTGGGGTGGAAACTTGCATAAAGCTGCCACATAGGTCATCCAGCTGCCAGGTGCTCACTTCTGATCCAGTCATTGGCCACTTTTGCTAAAACAGTTTTTCTCTGTTTTCTGAATAACGGCAGCGGGAAATTTACCTTAGAGTTTGAATGTAGTCATGGCTCTGAGAGCCATTCATTGACACATGACAAGTACTAGAAGAGAGGTTCAATTCCATGTGAAATTTCCTAAGCACAGAAAAGCCTGCAGACAGACAAATGATTGGATTCAGTGATCTTCCAGACTCCTTCCATCTTTCCAGATTGTGCTTTTATTTTTTATTTTTTTAAATTTTATTTTAAAGAACATAAAACAGAACAAAACCAATTAAAACAAACCAGCACAAAAGACACAAGACTTCAAAACATTATTAAATCAACAATAGTTACCATAATGCCTCTTGATGTCTTAGATAACTTTGGACATAGCAAAAATAAAAAAGAACAAAATAGAAACAATTAAAGCAATGAATGTAGTAAAGTACTTTAAAATAAGCCAATAGTAAATCCAAAATTACTACCATAATATGTCTTACTATCTTTGAAAAGGCTGCTCCTGCCTACATTGTGCTTTTATTTGTATTACCACTCTTGTCTGTTCTTCTAGAGGTGAATGAAGACCATTTTTTCCACTATCATTAAAATGAGCCATGAAGATAATTCTGACATGGTATAATTACAATATTTCTAAAGTGTCAGAAATAGAAATGCCTTTTATTAGCTTCTTCAATAAATGTATTTCATATGTAAAATATTTGTAGATATTATAGACAGTAAAATGTTGTTTTCGTGAACTAAGTGATAACTTGTCTCATAGCTGTCTGAGCTAAATTCTCCAAAAGAGTAATTAAAATTTAGCATTTAACCTTACTAATTGGGAAGTGTATGTAGGGGAAAATGAAGATCATTCCATGAAGTGTTGACCCTCTGTCAAACATAAGAAATTAGTTATTTACTCAAACAAAATTCAGAATTCTTCCACTTCTACTTTTCAAGGTGAAAATGTGTTGACACAAAGACAGAGGGCAGGGCAGAGTGGCTTCGCTTTCATCCTGCTGGGTCGCTGTGTTCCCATGAGGCAGTGCATGAACACAGCACACTAACTTTGTTAAAACTTAGGAACATCATTGTGGAGACAAGATTAATCTCTCTTGGCCTCAATTTCCTCATTTATAAAGTGAGAATGATGATAGTACTTTGGTCAGAGAGTGATTTATGTTTTGGTATTGTTGGTGGACTTCTTAGAACACTGACTCATGCGAAGTGGTCAGTAATTTAGCTTCCCAGAGTGTTATTACCTTGACTGTTTTTTAATGGGTAAGGACCCTGAAATTGTGCTTTTCTTTGCCCAGAGAGTCAAGAGCACCATCAGCCAAGACCATTATCACCAGCAGGGATGTGGCTCTGTGTTCCCTCTGTCAGTCCTGTCTGAAACGGATTGGTCTGACCCCAGTTTCTGACCTGGTTTTGTTCACCTCAGACTGGACTCTTTCCTGCTGTTGCTACTTTGCTTGAACCTTGCCTACATGACTCTCTACCCTCAATCTCCTCATCCTAAAACTTGGAGAAATATTTTATAAGGTTTTAAAATTTTGAATAATATTAACTTGTATCAATTTTATTGTTATTATTTTAAAATTCGAGACAGGGCTTCACTCATTTTCCAAGGCTAGTTTGAATTTGCAGCTTTCCTGCTCCAGTCTCCCAAGTGCCAGGATTAAATTGTATTTATTTTACAAAAATAAGGTATCTGGTGCTGGAAATGTAGAGAAGACAGAAGGTTGGAGGAATCATCAAAGAACATCATCCCTGACTTTCTTTTGAAAACTTCTGATGCTTGGGTGCCATCCTACCTGAGATCTGTTATACTTGGTCATGGATTTATTTGGTTTGGATGAGATTTAGCCATCAATATTTTTTTTAAAACAGCCTATACACCAAGTAGAGTTAGCAAGCTCAGGGTCATGGTGGAGGCCAGTCTGCAAAACCCGGCTTCTGCACTTCCTGTAGACTGACTCAAATTCTGGTTTAAGAGGGTTTTTCTGCACTGTCCTTTCAGTGATTATACTCTTAACAGTAAGGTATTAAATAAACACGCTTTTCTGTTTGTTGGCCTCTGTGAAGATTTCATTCTGTGCAGTTCTAGTTAACCTTATGCTTTTTTTCTACACTGATTTATTCAGCAAGCCCTTTATTCATTCTCAGATGTCTTCTTTTCTTGCTGCCTTCAAAGCTACCTCTAAAATATAATTGCATTGCTGACTTCCTTTCTGACATTGTCAACCTTGATCAAATACTAAGTTCTTCATTGTTCTTTCAGCCTGTATTAGATTCTTCCCAGCACAGGCTGTGTGTTGATATGACTGTGAAACACTGTGTATTCCTGTGAAGTATTCGGGTAGAATGAGATGAAGTGCCTTTTCTTCTTTTTGATTTGTGTGCACAGTTGTTTCCTGTTATTTAGGAATCAGTCTTTTCTCCTACACTGAAATGTAATTGGAATTATGTTACCTTTTTTCATTACCTGTTGCCTGCAAATTGCTTAAAGTTTCTTAGGCTTATTGATGTTCTTAATAACACTAACTCTTAGTTAAAATTAATCATGTGATTTCATATGTATTAAGTTCCCATTGTCAATTTTGGTAGGATAGGAAAAGGGAATGCCAGTTTAATTGAATTAGTTATGCCACAACAATTTGCCCTGCTATAAGTGAGTTTTTTTTTCTCTTTTTCAGGAATCTTTGTAGTAGTTTACCCTTGTCTCCTGAAGACTTTGACCACAGCTGCTCCCAGCCCTCAGCTGTCCTGAGAAAAGGACCACCTCTGAAACCAGGGAGACTTTCGGGAGACTCAGCCTAGCAGACCCTCTGAAGGTGAGACTGAGTTTGTTTCCTAAATCCACTCTCCGAAGAGTGACTAGGGAACAGGTTACTGAAAATTCTCTGTAAAGAATTGAGTTTTCCTTTTTGGGGAGAATTTTTTTTAGCAGTTATGAAGGAAGTCAACTAAATATTTTGACCAAACAGAAATTTATTTGAAGTGGCATTTTGATCTCTGAAGATTTACACACACACGTAAAAAAATCGATAACTTTCCAAGAAAGTTCTTCTATGTTTAAGGTCTCAGTCAACCTTAGTGTCTGCCTTACCCTGCCTTCTAGAATTGCTTTATAAATCAAATAATAGACTCAAAGAATTTTATAAAATTTTCTTTTTTTTTTTTTTTTTTTTGTCTTTTTCGTTTTTATCGGTACCAGGGATCGAACTCATGACTGCCTGCTTGCAAGGCAGGTGCTTATGCCACTGAGCTAAATCCCCAGCCCCAAGAATTTTATAAAATGAAATATTTTTTGAATAAATTTTAAAAAATGCCAATTACTATGGTATTACTCCCAAACATTTGTAAGCCTCCAAATATTCTTCTTACCCCAATCTGTTTTTCCCCATTTAATTGTTTTTAGTTCAGTTCAGTTGAGTAAATTTTGCTAGGCTCTTCAGAAGCAAAGTAGTGAGTCCTTGCCTTCAAGGAATATTTATGGATGCAATACACAGACCTATACACAGATGTAACCTACCCTAGTAGACTACAAGTATCCTGAGAGTACATTAAAGTATGGCACAGGTGTCTAATGCAGTCTGAGGACTGGAGGACTGTGTGTTTCAGTAGGGTTCCTTGAGGAGGTAGCCTCCAAAATGGCTCTGAAAGATGATTAGAAAACAGTCAGGTGTAGATCAAGGTGAATGGAGAGGTTGCCAGAGGCAGGAACAGTGGGATAGGATGTGAAACCCACATGGGAAGAAGTAAGTTGTTCCAGACTGTTGAATCATACACTCTGTGTGTGTGGTGGGGGTGAGGTGGGCTGGGGTGTGTGTTTCAGGAAGCACTGAGGGACGTTAATCGGGAAGTCATCGGAGTGAGCAGCGAAGGAAGTGGAGGGAAACAAGACTGAAAGGAGGGAGGAACTGTTTGGAAATGATCTGGAGAACAGAGAAGATGGCTAGAATTTGATGGACACCGTGTAAAACAGAGAGGAATTTGAAGGAGCTCAAATAAGCAGGATTTGGGGTTGATGGAAAGTGACAATAATCTTTGGATTTGGGATACTTTGGCTTCTGGTTGGGGTGGCTGATCATGTCTTTAGATTCAGGAGAGAAGCAGATTTATTTGGGGAGAGGGAAAGAATGAGATATATATGGAATACTAGGTGCTAGAAATTTCCAGCTGCAAGTAAAAAGGTGGAGGAAGGAAAGGAACCAGGACTAGAAATACTGGCTTGGAGTAACACAGTGTGAGGTCATCTTGCTGCTACTGTGATAAAACGCCTGAGAAAGTCAGCTTGCTTTGGCTCTAGGTTTCAGTCCCCAGAGGCTTGGCCCTGTTACCTTGGAGAGGGAAAAGCGGCAGGGCAAAGCCACTTGCCTCACGGTGGGGGGAAGCAATGAAAGAGGAAAGGCTGGGCTCCATCATTCTGACAACCTGGCCACCAACCACACCTTTAGCTTGTGAGGCTTGGTGGATATTTGAGATCCAAACCGTAACACAGGCGATAACTAGAAATATTTTTGAAAGTATAAATTTAATTTTGTACTTATATATTCAGTATTATTTGTTCATATACTGGAAATGATCCAAACCATTTATCAATTTTCATTATAACAGTATTTTTGTTTCATTTGTGTCTGTAGCTATTTGTCTTCGTGGTGTGATAAATTAGGAAGTATCCTAGGGAAACGTGGTAGCTTTTTCAAGTTTGATAAAATGTAATTTAAAGCAGTATTTAATTAACAGTCTAAACTCTAAAATTTCGGAGAGTCAAACACCAGTGCTGTTTTCCATTTTATTTACACCTTTAGAAACTAGCTAAGAAAGCTTTCCATAGTGCAGTTCCTTCTCTGTACTGATCATGTTTCTTGCCAATGCCTCGCTTTCCTTGCACTGTGGAGTGGTTAAGCATTGCTTATGAGAAACTGAGCAGGGTCTTGCATTCTTCCGTGGGGCGGTGCCAGCCCCTCCTTGCTCTGGGTGTTTCCCACAGTCCACCCAGAATATGGTGAAGGGGATCTGTGTAACAGAGGCCACACTGTTCGGGAGCTAGACTGTCTAAGTCGGGCTTTGGAAACTCAGTCCTCAGTGCCTTCTTTGAGGGAATGCCATGGGTAAAAATTTTAAATTCAAATAATACTCACAATAGTGCTATTTTGAGTGAATTTTATTTGATTTCTGTGGTCTTAATTAGCTTAATGACTCTTTGGAAAATTATTAAATTGTCTCATTTTACCCTTTATAGTTCATTTCATTATTTTTCCATGAGCATTAAAAAGAAAAGAAAAATTAATTTGATGCTAAATTAAGTAACTCACTAACAGTTGGAACCAGAGCTTTGATCTCTTGAATCTCTGGTCTTTTCACTGTATCATTGTTTTTTACTCATTCCAAATCTTTATTGGACTGTGGAGTTATCTATGTGTCTTAAAATAGAATTGAGTTAAGTAAACCAGTTTACACCAATGGCATTTGCCTCGGTTAACTATTCTGAATTCAACAAACACGTTTTACTTCTATACTTGAGCACTTGGTTGGTGCTTTTTTAAAAAAAAAATAAATTTGAACATGGATTTTGGTTTAGTATAATTTCTTTCTGTATAATGGTTCCACCACTGTACAGGATTGGAAGAGAATCAAACCATCTGTAAAAATTCCATTTAAAAAAAAAAACCACAGTCATCAGTGATTTCAAAACCAGCACTTTTGGGCAGATGATAGTTCTAACTTGGTCAATTGCACTGCAGTCTGCTGTGGATTTTATGTATAGAAAATGAATTTCTGGAAGTGCTGAGCTGGTGTAACTTTGAATGACGACACTTGCACTCAAGTTGTAGGTGGTCGCCAGGACAATGAGTCTCTCTCTGAAGTTCACAGAATGGTCAGTCTGTGCTGTGAAACCAGTGTGCTGCCAGTCGTCAGGGTACATGTACAAAACATGATTCACTCATCCCAGAAGCTACTAGGAATAAAAGGCGTTTCCACTGTTGCAAATGCAAAAGGACAAAAAGTATTCGCCCCCTGTATTTTTTTCTTTGCCTCTCTCTCCCTTTTTTCTCTGTCTCTGTGTCTCTTTCCATCTTACTCATATGCTTGGGGTAACAGAGGCTGTTGTAGTCAGGGGTTGTACACAGAGAACAACTAGGATTAGGACATGGAGTTTATAATATTTTTATAATGGTCACTGGAAGTTAACGCGGGAAAATGCAGGAAATCTATCCTCAACACCAAAGACGTAGATCATTTAGTCAAGAGCATAAACCCCACGGCCATGTCCCACACAAGTCCCGATACAAACCCAGAGCTCAGGACAATGCCTCCCACGAGTCCAACTGGAGGATCCTGAGCCCACAAGAAGGACTCATGCCAGTCTCTTTTATGGATCCGTGCCGGGAAGACCCAGGGGTCAGCGGTGGAAACCAGAAAGTCTATACCAGCAGGATGAAGGAGCTGTGCTAGTGGGATGAGGACTCTACGCTGGAGCTGAGAAGTCACACTTACAGCAAAGACCAGGGCTATCCTGAAAGGCACCACAGCTGTCCTCAGCAACACGGAGGCCCCGAGCTCCTCCGACGACAAGCACAGTCGGGTACGTACCAGGAAGCAGCGTGACGAGTTCATCCTGGAGACCCAAGCAGCACATGTCTTCCCCTCCGGACCCAGGAAGCAATGCTTGATGTGAGGACCAAAGCTTCTCCAGGAGAACCAACAGCTCAGACAGCAACTCATAGGAGAACCCCGAATGACTCCTTAATGCCTCAAGCCTCCCTACACCTCCCTTCTTCTCCCCCTATTTATCCTGGCAACCCTCCTCAGGTAGAGCATCTTCGCTTAATGCATGTTGATATAATCCAGCTGGTGTTAAGTTGACCACCAGTCTCAAACCATAACAGAGGCAGACTGTTGTAATGTCTCCAAAACCCAAGTTCTTCAATGATGTTCGTTTCTGGAACTGACAGTGGAAACAGTATGTCATAGGTGACGGATGAGAACTGTGGGGAGACCCAGTTGGGCGTGTGCTAAAAGTTTGCCCTCTTCCTTGCTTGGCTACTCTGGGCAGATCAACAGTGTAAACAGGGTGAACAGATAAGGAAACTGTCTCATGCTATGAATACAAAATGGTGTGATGGCTCTGGAAGAGGAATCCAGCTTTAGTGACTCTTGTCTGGCCTGGTGGTGATGTCTCCCACAGGTGGTATCTCACCATGGGTGCAGTGAAACATAGGGTGCAGCAGTATCAGGTGGCTGCTATCTACTCAGATTCTGGGTGAGTGTTTCAAGTACCATCATGCATAGAGAGAAGCACATTAAGTTTTTGTTAGCTTTGGAGTTGCTACTTAAAAGCATATAATTTGAAGTATCACTCAAGACTGCACTTCTACTTTATGGCCAGAGCACAGAATTCTGTAAGAGGAGGCTTGGGTGGGAAAACTCCTACTGGGATATAGAAACCATGGATGCTTTCCAGGGTGACACTTGGTCAGGCAGTATTCCAACAGACTCAAATCATATTTAGCTGTAACGTGTGTTATTCCATGCCCGTCTTTAAAGTGGGATTTTAAAAAGAGAGAAGTGAGGAAATGCTGAGCCACTAACTTTTGGTACAAATTCAATCCCACCATAGAGGTCATAGACTTCACATCAGCAATTTGTGGGCCATTTTGGTGAAGGACAATGACAGTGATGTTTAATCAGATAATGTCCTGCTGCCGTGGAACTTTCTCTACTGCCTTTTGTTGTTTGGGTACTTTGGAAATTATTCTTGATTCAGGTTTATTATTAACTTTTGAACCCTAGCTATTTCTGTAACATCTTGCTACTCATGTTGAAA